CCCACCCCACCCCGAATGATCGGTGATTTAACTTTTTGGTGAAGGACTAGACTTCGGTGGGAGATCTCATAAACTTTCCCAGAGAAACTGACCAACATTCCTTGCTCGTATATTCTTTTGATATAGGCATCACTACGTCAAAGTGATGAGCCTCTCACGTTTCACTAAGGAACCAGGAGAAAGGAAAGAATAGTGACTTTCTGGGAGGGGGTGAGGAAGCATAAATGAGTTCATGCCACTAAACCGTGGAATAGAAGACATTGAAATCTTCAGCAGGCCGGTGTAACACAACCGACTGATTGTAACTATGTTTGTTGGCTTATATGTTGGCCCTGGTTTATGGATGGATTCAGTAATCGAAAGTCCGCAATTGCAAGAATAGGTTGACTTTCTTTCATTTGCAGTTAGAAAGATCTTACCGTATACTACAACTCTCATGAAGGGTCGAAAAGCCAATTATGATTCTAAATGGTTCAAAACAGTGTGTTTTCGGGGCTGTTTGCACTGTATTCGGGATTAATCTACTGTTTTGTAAAATTCATATAAAATAGATGGATGATTCATGAGATGATTCTAAAACTAATAGACTCTCATGATACTAAACTACAACTTTCATTTGGTCTCTAAGTAAGATAAAAATGCTTAAAAATAAGAGGGACGGAAGCATACCGTAACATAGTAAACATCACAAAGAAGAGGTACAGAAGCTTACCGTATGTTTAGAACATTTAAATGTTGCAAATGAGATGATTCTAAAACTAATAGACTCTCATGATGCCAAACTACAACTTTCATTTAGGCAATATAATCTGAATTGGTCTCTTATTACGACACAACCAGTGTGGTCGGATTGTGTCGTAATAACAACATTGCAATAGCATATATAAATAACCATTAGTCAACTACCGGTTAAAGATTAGAGCAAATAGAAGGTAAAAATACAGGTGAAATTGTGATACACTTGTGGAAAGAGCTAACTATTTCTCTCCCACGACCATTTAGATCAAATCAAATGCAGTGCTAATAACAGTTAGATGGGAGAAATAGGAATGAAGTGGAAATCAATCAATTGAAGTAATTATGGTTTTAGTTTCTCAAAAAAGTGACATTACTAAAAAATTAGCAGCGACTACAAAATTGTTATGAATCAATCCTTCACTAATTTGCGACGAATCAGCGACAAAACCAATTTTTAAAATTTTTACTCACATTTGTGACGGATGTATGATCCGTCGATAATCCGTGGCAAGGTACATATCTGCAACTGATTAGCGACGGAGAAAKAAAACACTTATTTTGTTAAATAAATAAAAAGCTAAAGTTAAAGCTCCGTAACTAATCTATCGCTAAATAATTAAAAAAAATTGCCTCTGTCACGGCTTTGTTATAGATTTGGTTATATTTGATATTAAAAAATCAACAAAAATATTGATAAAATCTATAACTAAAATAAACATCTAATCTATATAATCTTTTTAATTTAGACACAATTAAAACATTATTAAAATTATTTATTATAAAATTAAAGGACAATCATACCCTTATGAATAAAAAATAAAGGAAATTAAATGGAATTATGCTATTGGTTGATGCTAGTTTCTACAGTTTGTACAAAAGGGAGCGGTTTGTAATTGATCGCTCCTATATATATATATATATATATGTGTGTGTGTGTGTGTATGTGTGTGTGTGTG